TCTGTGGCTGATTTTCCTTGAATCTGGACAAAGGAGAGAATCTAGAAGGATGGTGCAGACCTCACTATTCCTTCAGGGAGCTACCAGTCTTCTGAATCAGGAAGTTCTTTCTCTTGTCTAGCCTGTATCCACCCTGCTTCACTTGGACTCTGTTGCCTTTTGCCCAGTCCTTGGGGAAAATGCGGACCAGCTGTTCTTTTACCTCCTTCTATCTCTTCCTGACTCAGGAAAGCAGGTGGTGGCTGGGTCTCTCTTTGTATTATTAACAATGCTAACCCCCCCCGCAGATGCCTAAAAAAGCAGCAAATGTGGGTTACAACTGGGAGGAAGGAAGCTGATCCCGGGAGCTCCAGGTAAAGTGGCTTTGAGCATGGAGAGAATAGGCTAAGCATATACGCTGGTCTTTTAGGACAGAAAGAAGAACATTACATTTTCTATTAATTTTCTCAGCCTGGGAAACATTTCTCAGCACCGTGGCTAAGGAGATGTCTAGCAGGAAGTAACAGGGCTGCTTCCTTAGCTCTGAGGCTGGGACTCAAATATAACCAGGCACTTGGATCTCTACCCTCGTCCAGCTGTATTTCCGAGACACATTTGGAAAACTGAGTCTCAGACAGCTGAGCCAGGATGATCTTGCTGGCCGGTGGTTTTGGTCCTAGACGACACCGAGGATTTGCCGATGATAAAGGAGAGAATGTACATCCCAGCACGGCCGATCTGTATGTCACGCGTCCAGGAGCACCCAATTCTTCCTGTCTTAACCTCAGGAAGATGTGGTTTTTTCCCCCCTTTGCCCAGCACCCTCTTTCCTTCTCCAAGCAATTTTTAAGTGGGCCCTAACGCAAGTTCTCAGCACCTCTCCCTAATGGCTATGGACTGAAAGTTTGAGTCCTCCCCACCCCAAATTCATATGTTGAAACCTAATCCCCAAAGTAAGGGTATTAGGGGTGGGGCCTTGGGGAAGTGATAAGATCACCTTCTAAAAGAGACCCCAGAGGGGCGCCTGGGTGGCTCAGTTGTTAAGCGTCTGCCTTCGGCTCAGGTCATGATCCTGGGGTCCTTGATTGAGCCCTGTATCGGGCTCCCTGCTGCGTGGGAAGCCTGCTTCTCCCTCTCCCACTCCCCCTGCTTGTGTTCCTGCTCTCGCTATCTCTGTCTCTGTCAAATAAATAAATAAAATCTTTAAAAAAAAAAATAAAAGAGACCCCAGAGAGATGCCCCTTTTGCCATGTGAGGACACAGCAAGACTACCCCTGCCATGACCCAGGAAGTGGGCTCTCAGCAGACCCTGAATTGCTGGTGCCTTGATCTTAGACTTCCCAGCCTCCAGAACTGTGAGAAATAAATGTCTGTTGTTTGTAAGCCACCCAGTTTATGGAATTCCGGAATTAGCGCAGCCTGTCCAACCTAAGACACTGATCATTGCATCATGAATCTCTGTAAAGGGGACCAGTGGTCTTATTAATCACTCCTGCCCCATTCCCAATATTGAGAGCCCCACTCCTCAGGCTTGCAGTTCAAGGTTATGGTTTCTAAGCCATCACAGTCTAACTGAGGTGGACAGCATAAAAGGAAATGGCCATCATCCTGCCATTGCTTAGAATTCAGCAGTGACTTTAAGGGTCTTTCTGGTGGGGTGAAGGCATCCTCTGCTTTGTCTCTGTGAGTCAGGTCTCAGGAGTTACTGCAAATCAGCAGTTACAAACTCTGATACCTGGAGGGGACAGGTAGATAGGTAAGGTCAATTAGCAAAGCAGGCTGGCTAATTTCAAGACAGAATACTCAGCTGCATATTAAACACACAAAAATATTCTTCATTTTTTAAAATTAAAAATAGAGCTACCCTATGACCCAGCAATTGCACTACTGGGTATTTACCCCAAACACACAGATGTAGTGAAAAGAAGGGCCATATGCACCCCAATGTTCATAGCAGCAATGTCCACAGTAGCCAAACTGTGGAAAGAGCTGAGATGCCCTTCAA